GTACTGCTGATCTTAAGCGGGGACTGGCCTTTTAAATGACCCCTGTTCTGGCCTTTTCCCTATTAATAAGCCTTTAAAATTTTAAAATATTCTTACATATGTGGTTCAGAGTTTTGAAGCTCTCCCCTGATCCTGCTTTGCCTGGTATTCTGTTATTGCTGACAGAAATCTTCACTGCACCTCTACCCTGTCTGCCATCAAGCCCCATCTCTCTTGCATGATGGTAATTTCAAACTCATTTTAATTTCAAACTCATGACATTAATAACTGCATACATTGTTCTTGTTAAGTGCCATTGAGTTGGTTCTGTCTCACAGAGGGCCTGTATAGGGTTTCAAAGGAACAACTGGTGGGTTTGAATTGTTGACCTTGCAGTTAGCATTGCAGTGTTTACCCTACAGTGCCACAGCTGGACTCTATATTGGTGATTTGAATAAACACTATCTCAAAATCTGAAGGATGTCCTTTTAAGAATGCTAAAATACACATAATAAGTTAAGTCTTAAACACTATCTTGAGGCACAAAAGTCATTCCCATTGCACATATGTGTATATCTCTTTAAAAATCATTTGAACTGAGATTCTTTTTCTGTGAGTTTCAGCCAAAATATGATTTTTTAGAAGCCCATACAGTTCATGTCAGCTGTCCTAAAGTCTTTCAAAGTTGAAAAAATATGCTACTCCCATAACAAAAATTTTATGATTTCTGTTCTTTTGAATTCACAGAGGAGAAACAAAACAACTCTGTAAAATTCTATTAACAATGCAAATGAAGTGGCATTTTCTCAAAATTTTCAAATTTTACAAATTGGGAAAGTTTGAAGTGGTATAAATTGAATCACACAGATATATTTTATGGGAAAGAAGACAGAAAACAAAGGTACCTTAACAAATTTAGTTGAAGTCTAATCGCGATAGTAATACTTACTAGTATCACAAGACTTTGACAAGGTGGTTATGTTGATCAAGCACTTACAGAACTTTAATCCTATAGTTTACAGAATGTCAAGGAGAGCTGGGTATCTGCCAGGATACTTGGCACTCTCACTAATGCTGTAAAACGGATTGCTCTACTAACTGCTACCTTGCATTTTCTGACTCCCCATTGGGCGAGTTTGAAGACATATAATAAGTGAATATGTTTTACAGGAAACTTAGCAGCAGCTGCAATGAATACAACAAAACCCTGGACTTTTAATATGAATCAATCTGCACTGGATCCTAGGACCAATATTTATTATACTCTATGACTTTGGAAGAACAGGGTATTTCAGTTTCTTCTGTAAAACAAAGATTTCAAAAAGCAACAACCACAACCACGTACACCAATGTTCCTGTGATTAAACTGAATATCTTGTCTGTGTCAGATATATCAAACACAATACAGTATGATATCTTCTCTCCATACCAGAAAATATATTTTGCCATAAAAAAAGAAAGAAGAGCCCCTGGTCCACTGCACATATTCTGTGGCACTGTTCCAGGTTCATTTCTGGGAAAGAGATATTCTCCCAAAGTTGAATTCTTTAGCGGATTTCAGAAAGTGAACATAAAAGATCCCAGGAAGAGTCCTGAGGAACAAGGCTAAGGTAGATTGGATAAAATTCTTGCCCTTAAACTATTCTCAATATTAGCCAGCATAAAAGAGATTGCTTAGCACAGAGGAAAAGGAAGAGGAATTGGACATATTCTAGGACATATTCATGATCAGAATGGGTTTAGCAAAGGCTACAAATGTTTACTATGTAGATTTGTAGTTATTCTAAGCTTCATATTCTTTTAATTTAATATACCTCCAGAAGTTTCTTTGGGTGAGGACATGTTTCTCTTCTTGAAGACTAGGCTAGTTCTGTGTGTTTGTAGAGCTGAACCCTAGAGAAAAGGGCACTCACTCTACCTTCTTCCTCCAAAACCTCACAAATCAGAAATCATCACTTTGAAGGTTGTATGCTTTGACACTAAAGGAGTGCTCTGAAAAAAAGCCTGTCTCTCAAGCACAGACTAGAAATCAGAATGACAGAGATTCCTCTCAGAGTGTTTGTCAAGGGAATCTTGTTGTTGTTGCTAGGTGCTGCTAAGTCCATACCAAACCATAGTGACCTTACACACAGCAGAACAAAACACTGCCTGGTACTGTGCCCATCTCACAATTGTTGCCTCTGCCAGTGTGCCACTTCATCTCATTGGACGGTATCTTCCTGTTTTTCACTGACCCTCTACTTCAAGCTTGATGTCTTTCTCCAGGGACTAGTCCCTCCCGATAATATGTCCAAAGTATGAGAGATGTAGTCTGCCCATCCTAGCTTCTAAAGAGTATTCTGGATTTACTGCTATTACAGATTTGTTCGTTCTTTTGTCAGTACTTAGTACTTTTATTATTCTCCTTCAACACCATAATTCAAATGCATCAATTCTTCTCCAGCATCAGTAAGTATGTTACTTTCAGCAAGCAAGGTTGTATCATCTACATATTGCAGGTTGTTAATGATTCTTTCTCCAATCCTGGTGGCACATTCTTCTTTGTATCATCTATTTTCTCAGATTATTTTCTCAGCAAATGTCTTTATCTGGTAAGTCTTTAAAGTAAACCAGCTTTAAAAGTACTACAAATTAAAATGGTCACTACCCAGCTACAGTTCTCATCTATATTTCTTGTGACAAAAAAAGACATTTTCCATATTAAAATCCCCCCAAAATTATTAGATATTTTCTCACAGCACTTGGGTAAAATGTATTTTTCTACAAAATATTATTTTTGATAAAGTCTAAGGGCTGCAAGAGGCACTTGTTCAAACAAAACAAGGGAACACCGAATGCTTTAAAATTAGGAAAGGTGTGCACCAGGGCTCTTTTATTCTTTCACCATAGTTATTCAATCTGCTGAACAAATAATCCCCAAATCTGGATTATATGAAGAAAAACATTTTATCAGGATTGAAGGAAGACTCATTAGCAACCTGCGATATGCAGATTAAGAAACTCTGCTTGCTGAAAGCAAAGAGGACTTAAAATACTTACTGATGAAGATCAAAGACCACAGCCTTCAGTATGGATTTCATCTCAATGTAAAGAAAACAAAAATTCTCACTACTGGACCAATAAACAACATCCATATACATGGAGAAAAGATTGAAGTTGTGAAAGACTTCATTTTGCTTTGATCAACCATCAACACTCATGGAAGCAGCAGTCAAGAAATCAAATGGTGTATTGCATTGGCTAAATGTGCTGCACAAGATCTATTTAAAGTGTTGAAGAGCAAAGATGTCAGGTTGAGGACTAAGGTGTGCCTGACCCCAAGCCATGGTATTTTCAATAACCTCATATGCATGAAGTTGGATACTGAATAAGGAAGACTGTAGAATAATTGATGCATTTGAGTTATGGTGTTGGAGGAAAATATTGAAAGTATCATGGAATGGCAAAATAACAATTATATCTTTTTTGGAAGAAGTACGGTCAGAGTACTCTTTGGAAGGTGGCATGGCCAGATTTCATCTCTCATATTTCAGACATATTGTCAGGAGGGACCAGTCACTGGAGATGGATATCATGTTTGGTAGGGTGGAGGGTCAGAGAAAAACAAATAAGAGAAGTCCTCCCCCAGTGAGATGGATTGGAACAGTGGCAGCATCAATGCACTCAGGTGTAGCCATGATTGTGAGGTCAGCCCAGGATCAGGCAATGTTTTGTTCTGTTGCACATAGGGTTGCTATCAGTTGGTACCAACTCGATGGCACTTAACAGCAACAATAACAAGGGATGTAAGAAAAAGGGGGCTGTGAACTTTTCTAAATCTCCTTATATTCAAATGTAAATATATGGTCATTTGAAAAATGAAAACACAACAAGCTGGTGCTTATATTAATAGATTTTGGGCCATGCACAAGCTGAATTCTCTTTTGCTGGGTTCTATGAATTTTAGATTGGTTGGCAATCATTGTTATGCATCCACCCCCACCCCCATAAAATATACATACTATTTTAATTGCAGAATATATATCTATAGTATTCTATACATTTGAGGTGTGCTATAATTCTGTAGGATAAATGGCCTGCTAGCCACAAGGTTGGTGTTTTGAGACTATCAGTTGCTCTATGGGAGAAAGATGCGGCTTTCTGTTCCTGCAAATATTTACAGCCTCTGAAACCCTATACAGGGTCCTATCAGTCAGAACCAACCTGAAGGCACTTAACAACAACAATAACAACTCATTTGAGGGTTATGATTTCTTTTGTTAACCCCACCATCGGGATGTTGCTACAGAGTTGTGTGATGAGATTTCATTATTCTAAATATCACCCATCCACAGGTCAAGAATCAACTTTAAGCAACTGAGGAATTATTTTTTCCTGTCATATATTTGAATGTATTTCATACCTGGCTAAGAATACAGCCACATTTTCTTCCTATCTTTTCCATCAAGTCAAAAATTGGAAAATTCCAAGTATTTAGCTGCTCCATAATTGGGTCCAGGTTATCCATGACAAGAGGTTCGGGAGCAAGAACTGGCTTGTCCTGTAATGAAGATTAAGGGAGAAATGTTTTAATGGCATGCAGTTTTTCTACAAAGCAATTAGTGCTTTGCTTTGCTAAGTTCAGTTTAACAACTGAAGTTTTCTGAAAGAAATGATTTAAAACTTCATGTGAGAGAGTGATTTTTAAGAAAAAAAAAATCAAAATGAACAAGACACTGACAAGAACGTAAGGAGAAAAGACCTAGTGCTATTTCAGACCAGGAGCTGTGCATCGTTTGGTGCTCAACTACCTCTGGTTTGGACAAGCTCCAAAAACAGTGGATGTTTATTCCACAAGATAAGACAACTATCTGGGGGTCACTCCTTTCATTCACTGATCATATTCGTTATGTTAGGAGAGAGATACTTACATTTAACTAAAAGGTAACCCCAGGGGATGGTTTCAGTTCAAAGTTTAAACTCTGGACATTTTCAGAATTTGAGATCTGTTCCACATGTTTCTCATTTTATCATACGTGTATATGGAGCCTTGGTAGCATATTGAGTTATGCGCTGGACTGCTACTTGCATGGTCAGCAGCTCTAAACCACCAGCTGAAAGGTTAAGACTTTCTGCTCCCATAATGATTTTCAGCCTGGGAAACCCTATACACATTTACTAAGTAACCAACTTAATGGCATGCAGTGGTGGCAGCAGAAGAATGTGTATATATGGATAAGGAGCTCTGGTAGCGTAGTGGTTACGAATCGGGCTGCGAACCTCAGGACCAGCAGTTCGAAACTACCAGCCACTCCGCGGGAGAAAGATGAGGCTTTCTACTCCCGTAAAGATTTACACCCTTGGAAACCCTGTACAGGGTCGCTATGGGTCGGACCCGACTCGATGGCACTTAACAACAACAACAACAACATGTGTACAGATGCTTGACAGTTAACCTAAAAATCTTGGTTTAAACCTACTAGCTATTTCGTGGGAGCAATATATGGCTGTCTGTTCTGACCCATAGTGCCCCTGTGTAGGGTTTCCGAGGAGTGGCCGGTGAGCTTGAACTGCTAATCTTTCAGTTCAAACCAACTTAGCAGTCCAGTAGTCCAGCACATTAACCCACAGAGCCACACCAGGACCCCTTAAAGATTACAGCCTTGGGAACACAAGAGCAGTTCAACTCTGTCCTAGAGAATTGTTATGCGTTGGAATCAAGTTAATGGCAATAGGTATACATATGTGTTCTTGTATACATACATGTTTAACCACATACTTTTCTTTGGATATATCCACATACATACTTTGGATTTGCTATAAAATGTACTACAGACTTCTTACACACAAATTCATGTAAGAACTTTAGAAAATTCTGAAAACATATGTACATTTATGTTGTTATATATTTATGTAAATTTTTATAGATGAAGGGCTGCTGGCTATACTGGATTCTTCAAAGAAATCCAGAAGTAAGGAGGGAGAGTTAGTCACTCATACTCTAATAGTAGCATTTACATTAATGCTTCAGAGTTAGTATTAATTCAGTAGAATAATAAGTACCACATTTTTCAAGGATTTAAGAATAATCCATGTGTTCTATCACTTGAATTATTCTATACTGAGAAGCATGTAACATGTATATGTAAAGCTATGTTATAAATGGTCCCAAACAAAGACTTTCTTAAAAGAGAGACAGAAATTAAATAATAATGAGTTAAATAATTTTGTCTGGCATTAATCTATTTGATTTAAATGAAGCAAATTAGTTTAAAGTAAAATTAACAACAGTAGCAATTGATAATCAAATCATGGCCAACTAATTCCCATCATTTGCTGCCTCTGTCAAATTAACTCAAAAATACACTTTCATGAAATTTACTAGATAAATCATCAGTAAAGAATATTTTAATAGGTAGAAAGTGTCTGTATAAGCCTAGTTTAGGAAAATACATTACATATTAGATTACTTTATAAATAAATGAGATACTGAAAAAAAACAAGGTACCAGCAGAAAATACCCTAAAGAAAACTAACACATTTCTCTTATTTACACTTATAATAACAATAATATCATTGAAAATATTAAAAATGTGATTGTATTAAGAAATATTTGCAATTATTTCTGGAAATGAAAACATTTCTAATTTACCAAGTAACAGATCCATTAAGGGATCAAGAAGGCATGGAAGGAGAAAAATTGTATTAATAAATATGGGTAGAGCTAAAATATACCTATGGTCCAAATAAGATATATTTGTGAATCAAATGATTCAGGGACCTATAACTGAACCTAGCTCTATACTAGAAGCCAATTTTAGAAGAAAATGAGTGAGTTAAGTGATATGGGGCTACCAGGAATATCATGGTGTCCGGGGTGTAGGCACTGCAAGCCGACACTTTCCTCAGTGGCTCTCTGGGGCACTCAGTCTCATCTTCATTCTGCACGATATCACTGCTGTCACTGTTGTTATTGGTTTCATAATCAGAGGTAACTTGAGCTGTGTCATCTGAAATGGAAAGAAAACAGCTTATGAAGAGACCTGCAACGGGAGAAAGGAGATTTATTTAAGCAAGTTTCCCTGAAATGCATATTTTGAATATAGAGTTTAGGAAAATATTGCTGTCTCACACAAAATATAGATTACTCACAAAATATATAGGCAACAAGGGAAAGTAAAACAAATGTTTTTGACACCATAAAATAGACATAAATGATGATCTGTAATCTATTCAATAATTCCTCAATAATAATGTTTTGAAATCCTGTGATTTTTTTCTGTTTTATCACTCAATTCCTTCCCCAGTACACTAAAACACTGAAAAACTGACTAAAATGCTAACTCTAGAATGGGATCAGGGTTGAGAGGAATTATGTGGACCTGAATATCCTTGTGGGTTAATGCACCAGACTGCAAAGCTGTTTGAACTGCAAGGTTGGTGGTTCAGGCTCACCAGCTGCTCCTCAGAAACCCTATACAGGGTCACAATGGGTCGGAACCGACTCAATGGCACTTAACAACAACAACGAGTATCCTGGTGTGGCACTGTGGGTTAATGTGTCAGACTGCAAAGCCATTTGAACTGCAAAGTCGGTGGTTCAAGTTCACCAGCTGTTCCTCGGAAACCGTATATAGGGTCACTATGGGTCAGAACTGACTCAACAGCACTTAACAATAACAATATGAGTGTGTAGAAGTAAAGGGCCTGTTAAGTATCAAGTGATGGCATCTCCTTGAGGGTGGTAGGGGAGATTTTGTATATCCAAACTTGTTCTCTTGGAGTCTGTGGCTTCTTTCCTTTATGTCCTCTACTGTCTTCATTCAGTCAGCATTAAACTGTGCTGCCTGAAGACCAAGTGCCTGAATTTCAGACCATAATCAAGCTTCTTGTAACTGAGTAAAGGTATCTGAATGACACTATTGAAAGCACTTCATTTGTATGTACACACTGAATTCATTCTCTCTACTTTATGTGGTAAGAGCTTATTCCATTGCTATTTTTCTCACTTTGCAGGTAGGAAACAGAGGCATAGAAAGATAAGTAGCCCAAGGTTAAATTGTAAATGTCGCCACCATTATTTGAAGTCAGAAAGTCTGACACTAGTTTCTATGTACTTAACTTTTGATAACTCTGTTTTTTGTTGTTATTGTTGATATTTGCATTTCCTTTTATGGCTATTATATTCAATAATCTCCAAAGTCACAAAGATAGTCTCCTATGTTTTCTTTTAGAAGCTTTATCATTTCAGTTTTTACATTTAAGCCTAAATTCCCATTTCCCATTGCTGTGAAGTTGATTTTCTACTCACAGCGAGCCTATAGGACAGAGAAGAACTGCACCATAGGGTTACCAAGATGGCAATCTTTACAGAATCAGACTACTACAGAGTGGCTGGTGTGTTCAAACTGCTGACTTATTGGTTAACAGTCCTAGTGTATACAAGTAGTTCCAGTTTGATAGCACCATCGCAAATCAGTTCTGATCTAAGTTGAAAACCCCCGCTTTTTTTTTAAAATTTTTTTTTAAGTTTTCACTATTGCCTGCTATATTGCAAAAGTTTGAATACATTATAGTGCTAAACATCTGTGAGTGAATATCTGAAAATGACAACATCAGCAAATCCCATACTTCAACACTGTATGCATATTACTAATAATATCATATAGATGTATCCTAAACAAACAAATCAAACACCTGATGTTCATAAGTGCAACTCATTGTAACTGGAGTCCATCATAAATTAGGGATTGCTGTACTTAATATGGGTACGATAGTGAGATAGTAGGTGGGGTTCATTTTTTTTCTAACACCGTTTATTGAAAGGACTATCTCCTGTTTGATGGCTTTAGCATCTTTGTTGAGAATGAAATGACTTGTAAGGAGGTATCTAATTCAAGGTTCTCTATTATACTTATTTATTTATCATCACTTACTGTCTTTATGAAATAGCTCTGGTAGCATGGTAGTTTACGAGCTGAGTTGCTAACCAAAAGGTCAGCAGTTCAAATCTACCAGTCAATCCTCAGGAGAAAGATGAGACTTTCTGTTCCCATATAAACATGGACAGCCTTGGAAACCCCATATAGGGTCAGTATGAGTCGGAACCAATTCCAGGACACATAACCACTACCACTGTCTTGATTACTGTAGCTTAAATCTTAAGATCAGGAAGTATATTTTCTCTAATCTTGTTTTCTTTCTTTGGATATTCTATGTTTGTTGCATATCTTACACTATTTTCTAATTTACTTTAAGTTATTAGTGAATAATGACTTTTGTTAAGTACTCTATTCCAATAAGAACAATCTTGTAGTAAGTCTTTATCAAAGACTCATCCTTCTCATGTAATGGCTACAATATTAGAATTATATATAGTATGAATATGTAATTGACAAGATTCAGTTCCAGAATCTATAGTAAAAAAATGTCAACTATAGGCCTGAAGATGCCATACTCAAAGGCCAGAGCTTTACATGACAGTACAAAGGTGATAAAGAAAGACTTCTTACTTTCTCATTCACTATTGTGTTAGAGAAGATCAGCAACGGCAGACAACGAACTATACCAAGAAATGTTGCATTGTTAGATGATAGCCACACAGAGAATTGTCCTTTTTGTCTTGTCCATGTCCCTTGTTCTTTGAACACTGCCACAGCACACCATTCTTACATAATCAATCAACAATCAGTTTGAATGGCTATTTTCAATTCATTTATTGAATGTCTACTAGGAAATGCCAAGGAGCTCTGGTAGCATAATGGTTATGAATTGGGCTGCAAACCGCAAGGTCAGCAGTTCAAAACTACCAGTGGTTCCGTGGGAGAAAGATGAGGCTTTCTGCTCCCATAAAGATTTATAGCCTTGGAAACCCTGTGCAGGGTCACTATGAGTTGAAACCTACTCCACAGTACTTAACAACAACAACAACAACTAGGAAATGCCAAAGCACAAAGTCAAGAATCCTTCTTTGGTGGCTAACAGTAGTTGATAGAAACTTTTTTCCCTCTACCCTGTGTGCACTTGCAACACTTGCAAAAGCAAGTGTTCCCAGTATTCTACCACTAAAAGTCAAATCGTAACTATTATAGTAACAGCAACAAATATTTACTACTTTTAGTGATCCAGGGACTTCTGCTGTGGCGCAGTCAGATCAGCACTGGACTGTGAAGTAAAAGGTCAGCAATGAAAAATATCAGCTACTCCTTGTAAACCCTATACAGGGTCACTATGAGTCAGAACTAAATCAATAGTACTTAACAACAACAATAATATAGTACCTGGGTACTACACAAAGTACTCTATATAGTTTAAGTAATTTAATTTTCACAACAATCTTATACGGTAAGTACTATTGTTTTTGCCATGCTAGAGAAGAAGGGATTTAGACACACAGATTAAGATTACAAATTTAGTAAGTAGCAAAATCATGTCTGGCCCCAGACATTCTACACTACTGTTCTAGAGAAACTGTGTGAATTCACTCTGGTTAGAAGCAGTTATTTCTGAGGATCTGCTCTAGCGCCCTCCAAGAGGGTATCCCAAAATGAATGGCTCTGGAAAGACTGCATAGAAAAATCAAACATTTCCATATTGTTGGAAATCAGCATAGCATGGTGCTCCATTGGGTTTTCAATGGCTGACTTTTCAGGAGTTCATGTGTAGAAGTTCTGAGATGCCTCTGGATGGATTCAAACCTCCAACCTTTTGGCTAGCACCTAAACATGTAACTGTACCACACAGGGGCTCCTACTGTTCTTTATACTATGTAAAATGGCCCCTCATTTTTATAAACAAAATATACAATTATGTATGTTGCTATTGTTAAGTCCTTTCAAGTGACCCTGTATAGTGTTTCTGAGGAACAGCTGTGGGTTTGAACTAACTGCCAACCTTGTGGTTCACTGTCCAGTGCTGATCCTACAGCACCACATGATGTGAGAAACATTTAGGGCAGTTTTACACCAAAATTTTATTCATCATTAACGATTGTTTTTGTTAAGTGCCGTGGAGTCAGTTCTGACCCATAGTGACCCTGCATAGGGTTTCTGAGGAGTGGCTGGTGAGCTTACAGTCCAGCGCATTAACCCGAAGCACCACACCAAGACTCCAAGCTCAATGATAGGTGGTGGGAGTATGTAGGAGTACTGGTGTGGCACTGTAGGTTAAACAATGGTCCATATGGTTGGTCTGAACCACAGGGTCAGCAGTTCAAACTCACCAGCCAATTCTTAGAAACCCTACGCAGGGTCACTATGAGTCAGATTTGACTCAATAACACTTAACAGCAATAAAAGGATTATGGATGGCTTTGTTTTCTTAACTTTTTAATTTCACAAATTTGAAAATCAGTTACACATATTACTCTTTCGATCAGGAGAAACAAATAAATACTAAAGCAATTTCCATTTTGAGAAACAGAATCTGAAACAAATGAATTACCTGTTCTGTTTGGTGTTCGAATGGTAGCACTGCCTTTGTCCAGTGGCCCATCTGCAGGATTTCCTTGGGAATATGGTCTGCCACAGCTGAGAAATATAGGAGCATATTTAAAGAAGAAAAACTTATTTTTAAAAAATCATAAGCATACATCATGTGTTTGTACATTTAAAGAGAAAGTAATAATCAAATATTTATACTTTCTATTATTTGCTTTATGGAAACTTTTCACTTTGTTTTATACACAGATTCTGATATGCAGTATACTTTTCTGTTTTTGTTGAGAGAATGATCAATGCAAAGGGTCAGAAATTTCTTTTTACTCTTATCCTTACCATTCATAGTCTAGGACATATTTCAGGAAAACAACTAACAAGATTTTGTTACATTATTTAGTAAATACTGGGATAAGCTGCTATCTATTTAAAATAGTGATTTTGGACGTGACAAATCCAGAAGTCCTGGTGTGCTCCTATAGGATAAAGCACTGAACCTTAAGGTCAGTTTCAACCACTGGTCGGTGGTTCAAACTCACTAGCCACTCCTTGGAAACCCTATACAGGGTCACTATGGGTCGGGACCAACTCTATAGCACTTAACAACAAGAAGTCCTGGTGTGGAACTGCAGGATAAGCACTGGACTGCAAAGTTGGTTTGAACCACAAGGTCAGTGGTTCAAAATCACCAGCTGCTCCCTGGAAACCCTATACAGGGTTGCTATGAGTTGGAACCAGCTGAACAGAACTTAACAACAACAACAAGGTATATTTGTCAAAAACATCTTCCCCAATGGAATATACCTGTTGTTGTTAAGTGCCATGGAGTTGGTTCCGAGTCACAGGGATCCTGTAGAGGGTTTCCATGGTGTCTGGTAGTTTTGAACCACTGACCTTGCAGTTAGCAGTCCAGTACTTATCCTACAGCACCATACACCAGAACTCCAATAGAATATACTATTGTTAAGTGCCGTTGAGTCAGTTCTGACCCACAGTGACTCTGTATAGGGTTTCCAAGGAGCAACTGTTGAGCTTGAACTGCAAACTTTGTGGTTTGAACCATGTTTGCAGTCCAATGCATTAACCTACAGTGCCATACCAGGACTAGTGACTGATTAAAAGCTTTACTATGAGAATGTTTTTTGGTTTAAACATTTTGTTTCCAAAGAGTTTTTAAACAGTGAATATATTGAAAGAGAATAATTACACATTAATTTTTTTACCAAAAAATCAAATGGGCTGATTTTTCTGATCTTTCTGTCACCTTTTAAGGACTGTAGGAAAATGATGAAAGGAGAGGTAGTATATTTCAAGATTGCTTTGCATGTTCTAGGTTTGTTGTGTGTTCTTATACATTTATAATTTATTTTAACTGAGTTTTCTTAAGGTGCTAGTGAGTAAGTACTTTGCTAAATAATCTATTCTGATAGAAGTCTCTCTTAGGGTTTAAATAATGAATTGCAGGTTGGCAGCATAAGGTGCTGAGTGAAAACAAAACAACAGACACAGGAGGCAAACAAAAGAATGTATTTCAGAGTGGTACAGTGTCGTTTACAGAGAAAGTTGGAATATGTAGGATACACTTTGCTTTCTCAGTAGTTTTGATTCTTTTCTAAATTAAAATAAAAGTAATCCTGCAAAAGTCCTGGAAGGTCCTAAATGGTCTCTTCCCTCATTTATCTACCTGATTTTTTGTTGTTAAATGCCATGGAGATGGTTTTAATTCTTAGAGACCAGATAGCTCAATTTTAATATAGCATTTTCCTGTTGGGTAGGGTTAATGTGCTGGACTGCAATGTTAGTTTGAACTGCAAGGTTGGTGGTTCAAGCTTATCGGCCATTCCCCAGAAACCCTATACAGAGCTGCTATGGGTCCAAACCAACTCCACCACAGTACTTAACAACAACAAAACAATACTACAAAGGAGTTCTGGTATGGTTCTGGTATGGATTAATGCACTGGACTGCAAAGTAGGTTTAATCTGCAAGGTCAGCAGTTCATGCTCACCAATGGCTCCTTGGAACCGACTCCACTGCAGGATAAGACACAGTGCTGCAAGGTCGGTTTAAACTATAAGGTTGGCTATTCAAACCCATCAGCCACTCTTGAGAAAACACTAGTCAGGGAACAAACTGGAAGGCACTTACCAACAATACTACTACACAGGGTCTCAGAGGGTTTTTGATTTGTTATTTAAGCATAGCGTATGTGATAGAATCTCTCATCCACGTGCATAATAAAATGGCTGTTTGCTGGGCTTTCGCTCTCCCTCCTGGAACCTCTTTTCCAACCTATGGGAACTTCCTCTCTCCCTACTTGCATGGCATCCCTAGTCAACCTATCACCTACCTCCACTAATCTCAACCCTGCCCTCCTCTTTAACCAGTATAAAAGTCCTTCCCCTGCCAATACTCTCTCTCTCTCTCTCTCCTCCAGACCTCCAATAAAGCCTTACACGTGGGTGTTTGTGTTCCAGCTCGTTCATATCACAGTATGTACTCACTATAATGAGAAGAAATGAGTGAGCATTTATTGTTTGATATCTTAAATGTATCGTCATCCCCCACACCACAAGTTGTATTAGTATATGGAATGGAGAAAAGTAGAAATAAGTAAATTTCATTTTCAAACCTTGAATGTAAGTGGAAAAGTATCATAAATAAAAGATTTCTAATTATGCAATTTCATTACTTTGATTTAGGGATTCAAAAGATAAGACAAAACCAAACAAGTACAAAATGTCAAAATGACAGGCCCAAAGCCAGGGTGTGGGTGAGGCACCTTATCTTTATGCAAATCACAAACAACTATTATGGTTTATTTACCAACTGTTGTGTGGCACTATGGGCTAATGCATCAGACTGCAAAGCCATTTGAACTGCAACATTAGCGGTTCAAGCTCACCAATCGCTCCTCTGAAACCGTCCTCTATAGGGTCGCTATGGGTCAGATCCGGCACTTACCAACAGCAACAACAACAAACCTCCTTCTGGGAAGTACTTTTGTTATGCCAATTCCTTTTTTTTTTTTTTTACAAAGTGTTAAAATTTTAGCATAGCATATTTACAAAAGAACCTCTTGGGGGCTGGGATCAGTTGGCAAACAAATGTACAAGGTGTTATTATTTTTTTTAAAAAAGAGTACATATCATTGATGGGCTTACATTCCTGGATTAATCTTGATGATCTTTAATAACTGAGTTTAATGGTTTTAAGAGTTTTATTGCAAGATAATATTTAAAAGGGACATTTAAATTAGTTGTTCAAATATACTAGCTCTTACGCCAAAAAATAGCTTGTTGCATAGACATTACAGCAGCCAAGAGACTAAACTTCACCGCCAAACCCATGGAGTTCAGCAGGGGAAACCACAATAATTAGTTGTGTGTTTTTGGAGCTCTCTGTGGCTACATGGGTGGCTGTCCTAAAGGCAATAATAAAACCTGGTTTGAATTATAGATTTATAAAGCCCAAACAAATAAAACACACACTACTGGATTTATAAACATGACCGAACAAGTAGGCAGTGAAATTATCTTGTTTTTCCACTAAATCTTCTTTTATAAAAATCCCATTACATTATTTTTTTCTGCTAAAAAGGAAAAAAAAATAGAATAAGTTGAGAAAAATCTAAGTGAGTGTAAATATTTTTGGAACTCTCTTCTCCTTTCTTTGTTGTTTTTAAGTGAGTTGGTTCCAACCCATAGTGACCCTGTATAGGGTTTCCAAGGAGCAGTTGGTAAGTTTGAGCTGTCAACCTTGCGGTTCAAACAGATCTTGTGATCCATTGCTTATCCTACAGCATCACATCATGACTCTCTTACTTATTTTCTGCAAGTCTGGAGTCACACTTTCTGCAAGTAGGAGTCTCCTTAGAACAGCTAAACATAGATGTCTTGGGAGCAGATTCCTCCACCAGGTTCCATTATGACTGTCAAACACTAGATCCATGGACAATTGTTAGGTGTAAACCTAAAAGAAATTAGTTCTGTGGTCAAGCAAACCTAAAAAAAAACTTCAGATGACACAAAAATTCATAGGTATCCTTTTAACAGGATTTCTCAGAGCTTTTAATAAAGGGGCGTATGCTATGAAACTCTGACAGAAAAATATGATGTGTCTCACAGATATTTTACTGTTGAGTATATATTCTGTGCAAAAAAAAAAAAGATATTAACACTTCACAGAAATTATCTTACAAAATAGCCCATAGAACTGGCAGCTGAATTACTTTGGATGGTAGAATAACTTTTTATCTAGCCCTCTCAACAAATAAACAAACAAATGATTTTTCTTTTTAAAGTTTTTAGAAAGAGAAAAAATAAAGATAATAAAATATAAACAGCACGATGTAAACAGCTACAAGTATGAAAATGAAACATGGGAGGCTTAATCTTAAAACTGAAGATGCTGACAAAATCTGAATCTAATACTTAATACCTGAAGATCAACACACCACTCATCTAATCAAATATTAAGTATTTGCTCTCATTAACCATTTGATTCAAGTCAGCCCCATGATTAAACTTAATTCAAAATCATTCAACCCTTTCCTGCCTAAAAAACGATTGCAGTGCTCAAAGATCAATTAATTAGGAAGAACACCTAAAACAATTAAACAGTAACAGGAGCTATTTCCTTAGTAACACTATAGGAAGAATAAATACTCCTAGCATTGTTGTTGTTGTTAAGTGTTGTCAAGTCAGTTCCAACTCATAGCGACCCTGTATAGGGTTTCCAAGGAGCGGCTGGTGAGCTTGAACTGCCAACCTTGTGGTTCAAACAAACCTTGCAGTCCAGCGCATTTACATGCAGTGCCACACCATGACTCCACTCCTAGGACAGTAGACCCTTTTGTCTTTTCCTCAATGAAACAAGTCACTTTGTGATTCTGTTTCACCATGACAGAGCAACGGAAACAATTACTTAATGTATTCAGAGAACTTAATTGTTCAGAGTCCACAGCCCTAAGGTGACATGTATCATTTTCACATTTTTAAAGTGTTTAAATGATAAATACAAACACCCCTACAGTCAATATAAAAAAACATCCCCAGGAGAACAAGTGAAATTAATTCTATCAAAATATCAAATTAGATAAAATTGTTATGACTTTTATGTTTTATGCATTTGAAATAAGCAAACAAAATACACAATTAATTATTTTGTATCACATCCCCAAAGATTGATTTATGGAATTCACATTTTCTATTAATAGTAAAAAAAAATAGGAAAAAAGTCCCCATTCAGGCCTATTCCGTAGGAAACACAGGACACATTGCAAGTTTGGTTTCAGACCACTCAAAAAGGCAAATATTGCACTAAAGTGAGTAGCATGAGTTTTTGACTTCCAAGTGCATATGAAAGTTATGTTTATTTTATTTTATATTTTAGGCTATTAAGCATGCAATAGCATTGTGAAAACATTTGAATTAATGTGTAATTACCAAAATGAGACACACAGACTTGCTGGGAGCTGAGTTGCGATACGGTTATTGCATAAAACACATTATTTGTGAAGCTTAACAAAACAAAACACAATAAAAGGATGTATGGCTGTATTTTCCTGTCATATTCTTGGGAAAACTTACACACAGAACTGTGTGGGCTTGTGATAAGTTTTCCTATGACAAAAAACAAACAAAATGAAACTATTCTAAACTCCAATTAACAACATAAAACTCTTACCTGCTACATATGACAGATGGAGTCAGGATCTGATGGGATAGGTCAGGGGCACTCTGAGTATAATAAGTTAAGGGCCGATGTGAACCTAGGCCTTGTTTGGCAGTTGTTTCTGCAGATTCAGGAAATTGCACTGCAGAAATTTTGCTGATAGGGCTGCTCATAGGAGTTCCTTGGATAGGTGAAGAGCAAGGTGAAGAAAGCGGTGAAATCTTAGCAAGGGCATCTGAGAAAGAAAGAGAAATATTGAGTCACAAAATAAATGTCTCTTAAATGCAAAACTGCAACTTTTAAACTTGACTTCAGACTCTAGTTAACTCAGTAACAACCATGTCTTCATGGCACTTGGACTGGCCTCCACATGCCACCATCTGGAGACAGAGCATGTGGTTAGAATGTTTCTACAGCATGTTACAGGGGTGATGGATCATCCTGAAAAAAGAAAAAAACTGTGGCAGTGTTGGCAAATTAATTAAAGTCTTGGCGTCCTGGAGTAACTTCAGGAGAGATGAATATGATTTTCTTTTCCCATTTTTGTTTTCTCTTGCCGTTCTGACATAACGACAATAGTTTTCTCATGTGTTTGCCTTCTCTAGGTTTATGAAGCATTTTGGGTAGAACCAAGATGGGCTATGGTTTTAAACACTAGCTGGTATCTGGAATGGAGGTCTGAAGGCATCGAATGTTTAACAATATGTAAATAAGATAAATTTTTGTGAGGTTATCAATCATCCACATATTCAGTTAAGTGGTACTTTGAACAAAATAGCTTCTGAAGAAAACATGAAAAAATATATTGTAACTCATTCAGATAAAGCAATATGCCTAACACTCTAATTTAAAGCATTTTAAATATTAATTGTAGATATTTGTGCCTGACTGCCTATGTTTGCTTTAGATTGTGAGAATTTTACAGGACACTAAATTTAGATTATAAAGAACAAGACCAAAGTCTTTTGAAGTTGCTTTTTCCTAAACATGGATAAGGCAGCATATTGCTAAAACTTAAAAAAAAAAACAGAGAGAGAAATAACTTCTGAACAACTACCCGCTTACAGTTTTTTTTATGATTCTATGGCTGAACTTTAGGACAAATTAAATGAAATCATTAGAAATCATTCTGTTTCTCACTACTCAGGGGAAATTTAAAGCCAGAGGCTTTTACATCACCAAATAATGTATGTGGTTAAGTGGCAGCTGGTTCAGAACAGTTTGGTTCAATGGCCACACCCTTAATAGTTATGTCACACCCAAAGGTTTTCTGGTCCATTGGAAGAAATATTAAGCTTGGTGAAGGGTTTTGCAATTTTCTTATTAAATTTCTTGTTGGCACTGTCATATGTTTTGTTTTGATTGAGTGTGACAGTAGCCATCCTTTCCTAGTCATTTTCTCATTTCTATTGTTTATTCCTGATGAACAAATCAACTCCCCTACTTTTAAATGTAATAAATGAAACCACTCTAGAGGCAGAGAGATGAAATACTAGTAAGTAGGAGAATATGGAAAGAGTCCAAATATTCTTAGTAAAATGTGATTTATTACCTTCTACTCTTACCAGTGATTGTCCAAATGAAAAGAGAAATTCATTATTAGGATGCATTTGTACTGTACTTTACAATGATATTTATGGTATTTATTTTGATTTCTAGAGCTTTCAGTATGGGTTGTACTTCAATTTAAATAAAACAAAATCCTCACAACTGGACCAATAAATAACATTGTGATAAATGGAGAAATGATTGAAGTTGTCAATGACTGCATTTTGCTTGGATTCACTGTCAAGACTCGTGGAAGCAGCAGTCAAGAAATCAAATTACATATTACATTAGGCAAATCTGCTGCACAAGACCTGTTTAAAGACATTTTCAAAAGCTGAGATTTTAGTTTTGAGAATTAAGGTGTGCTTGACCCAAGCCATGGTATTTTCAGTAGCCGCATATGCTTGTAAATGTTAGACAATGAATAAGGAAGACCATAGAATATTTGACACATCTGAGTCACGGTGTTAGAGAAGAATATTAAAAGTGCCACGGACTGCCAAAAGAACACACAAATCAGTGTTGAAAGAAGTAAAACCAGAATGTTCCTTAGAAGCCAGGATGGCCAGACTTCATCTCTCATACTTCGGACATGTTGTCAGGAGGGGAACCAGTCCTTGGAGAAAACATTATGCTTGGTAAAGTGGAAAGTCAGAGAAAAAGAAGACCCCCAAACAGACGAATTGGCACAGTCACAACCATAATGAGTTCAAGTGTGAGCAGGCAGAGGACTTGGCAGTGTTTCCTTCTGTTGTGCATATGGTCACTATGAGTTGGAACTGACTCGACAGCACCTAACAACAACAACAACAACAACAACAACACAGCTATTGTAAAGATTTTGCTATATTAACAACAATACTGAAAAATCTCCACATTCCATAGTTTAAATGAACTATTTTCTGGGCTAAGAGAAAAAAAAAAGTTAACTACATTTTCACCGAAGACTTTCCAAACCAATTCATCATTGTATGTAGTGAGTGAGTTTCAGGTGTGTTGTGAAATAGTATGATTGTAAATAAAAGCATTTTTAAAGAAGAGGGAGAAGAAGAAGAAAGAGGAGAAGGAGGAGGGGGAGGAGTAGGGATGTTGTTGTTGTTAAGTGTCATCGAGTCAATTTTGACCCACAGCGAACCTACATAGGGTTTCCGAGGCTGTAAATCTTTACGGGAGCAGAAAGCCTCATCTTTCTCCCGTGTAACCGCTGGTAGTTTCGAACTGCTGACCTTGAGATTAGCAGCCTGATTCGTAACCACTAAGGTGTTAATTAAGGAGCTCTGGTAGCATAGTGGTTGTGAACCACAAGGTCAGCAGTTTGAAACTATCAGCTGTTCCGTGGGAGAAAGGTGAAGCTTTCTGCTCCCATAGAGATTTACAGCCTCAGAAACCCTGTATAGGTTGCTATGAGTCGGAATCTATTCCACTGCACATAACCTCTCCCCACCACCACCACCAAGGTGTTAATGGCTGTGTCTCAAATAAAGAGAGGTACTTGATCTACATTGTTTCAGACAGTTCCTTCATCTTTTTTTTATAGCATTGTGACATTTGAAATAGTTTCCCACTGCTTTTCTTTTCTTTAAAATGTTAGTTCAAAGTATGTAACAACACTGTCCATTTCATTCTTGACACAATGCACTTTTTTCTTTGTTTTTCTAATTGTGATTTGGGTAAAGGTTTACAGAGCAAATTTGTTTTCCGTTCACCAATTCATACACATTTTGTTTTGTGACATTGATCACAGCCCCTATAATGTAACAGCAGTCTTGTTACTTCCACTCTGCGTTGACTGTTTCCATTTCTCCTTCATTCCTATCTTTTCTCCCTTATGATCTTTTTCTCAGGATTAATACTACCCTATTGATCCTGTATGGTTGATTGTTCTAAGTAGTGTGTACCTCCCTGGTGTCACTGTTCGTTCACCTTTGGCCTATCTATTATTTGGCTGACCACTGAGTCACAGAGGTGAGTTCAGTTCCAGGCCTGAAGGATGTCTACGGATCATAATCTTGGGTTTCTCTAGTCTCTATCAGACCAGTAAGATGGGTCCATTGACTGAGTTTTGTTCCACTTTTCCCTGGTTCTATCGAGGACCTCTTATTGTGATCCATTTTAGAGCAGTAGGCAATGGTAACTGGGCACTATGTAGTTGTTTGGGTCTGAGGGTCATAGAGGCTGTGGTTCTTGTGGTCCTTTAGACTAATTGTTTCCATGAGTCTTTGACTTCCTTCACTTTTCTTTGCTTTAGATAGGCAGAGGCCAATATTTGCATCTAAGATAGCCACTCACCAGCTTTTCAGACCCCAGTAGCTATTCATCTAATTAGGATATAATGGATTTTTGTGGATTATGTTATGCCAATTGACGTTGTTGTTGCTAAAGAGAACTGCTGTTGCGTCAGTACTGACTCATAGTAATCCTGTATAGGGTTTCCAAAGAGTGGCTGGTGGGTTTGAAATGCAAACCTTGCAGTTAGCTGTCAAGTGCTTATCCTATAGCACCACATCAGCACCTTGATGTCTCCCAAAACTATGGTCCTGAGCTCCCAGGCCCAATGACTCATTCCCTCAAGATCTTTGGTTATAGCTAATGAGTTTTCATAACTTTGCCCCCTGTGTGGTGTACTGTATTCATGGATATATTTGTAGCACATATTAATATATACACAGAATTGTCCTTCGTCAAGCATTTATATATTCGTATGCAGAAATGCTCACAATCATTAGTCACTTCTGCTCTTGTTATGTGCCATAGAATTGGTTCCAATTCACAGCAACCGTGTATGGGGTTTTCAAGGAGCAGCTATTGGGTTAGAACCACTGACCTTGTGGTTAGGAGTTCAGTGCTTATCCTAAAGAGCCACACCAGGACTCCCATTAGTTACTGTTGTTGTTATTATTAAGTTCCATTGAGTCGGTTCTGATCCATAGTAACCCTGTATAGGGTTTCCGAGGATTGGCTAGTGAGTTTGAATATCTGACCCTGTGGTTGAAACTGATTTTGCAGGTTAGTGCATTAACTCACAATGCCATACCAGGGCTCCATTAGAGAGATGCAAATCAAAACAGAAATGAGACATCAAATTTCAAAAATAATAGCAAGGTTAAAAAACAGAAAACAAACAAATGCTGATAAGGGTATGGAGAGCCTGGGGCCCCTCCCACACTGCTGGTGGGACCGAAAAATGGTGCAACCACTGTGGAAACTGGTATGGCGCTGCCTCATAAAGTTGGAAATAGAAAAACCATATGATCCAACAATCCCTCGACTTAGCACACATCCTCAAGAAATATCATCCTAGACACGAACAGAGAGATAGACACCTATATTCATCAAAGCACTATTTACAACAGCAAAAAGATAGAGACAGCCCAAATGCCCATCAGTGGAAGAATGGATAAACAAACTTTGGCACATACACACAATGAATTCTATGCAACGTTGAAGATAAATGAAGAATCTGCAAAACATCTCATAAAATGGATGAATCTGGAAGACATTATGTTGAGTAAAATCAATCACAAAAGGACAAATATTGTATGAGAGCACTATTATAAAAAGACCATAAAAAGTTTTCATACTAAAAGAAGCATTTTTTGATGGCTACCAAGGGCAGGAGGGAAAGAAGAATAATATACTGGCTAGAGGGTTGACACATGTTAACCTAGGTGATAGGGAAAGCAATGA